TGTCTCTAAACCTTTACCCTTTAGCCAAATGTGTTCATATTCATTGCATAGTATGATTCACGGTTCCTACTTAATAAATGTTAAAGGGAATGTGCAGATTTGAATGCTTGATTTGATTAAGGCAGAGGTTAGGTTGAGATGTGAAGAAGATGGCTAATGTTTTTAAGTAGAGATCAGTCAACCTTGCACTCTAGAATTAGCAACCTAGACATTGAATTCACTTACTCTATATGCATGTTTTGGTTCTGAGTCTCCACTTTCAAACCTCTTCTCCAGCTTGATTCTATTTGTTTGCTTGAGGGCAAGCAAGAGCTAAGTTTGGGGGAGTTGATATCTCTGTATTTTACCTCTTTTTAGCACGCATTTCTTATGCATTTAGCTTAGTTTCCTCTCTGTTTCACTGCATTAATAGTCCTTTTTTATAAGATCTTCGTCACTTAGTACGATTTGCATTGCATGGCATAGCATGTTGCATATTGGATGAGTTTTAGGTACTTTGGAGCTTATTTGGGACTTAATGGAGCAAGGAGGAACCAACACGACCTTGGAGCTAGACTTGGGATCGAATTGGAGAGGAATGAAGTCGTTCAAGATCACCTGAGAGCAGTCTCGACGTGGCAGGCTCGACGACACGTCGAGATGGACGCCAGGAAGCCAACTGAGAGCAGTCTCGACGTGGCAGGCTCGACGACACGTCGAGATGGACGCCAGGAAGCCGCCTGGGAGCAGTCTCGACGTGGCAGGCTCGACGACACGTCGAGAGGGACATCAAGGCGCCACCTTTGAGAATCACATGGTCTCGACGTGGCAGGCTCGACGACACGTCGAGTTGGCCTCCACCGACTCTCTATTTTGTCCTGTAGCCAATTAGGGCAACCTAGTATTTCCTATAAATAGGGGTACATGCTATTGTCCAGCGGATATTCTTTTTACCCAGCAGATATTCCTTTGTTCTCTCATAAACCCTAGTTTTTGTAATCGTTTTTCCTGTTGATCCTTTGAGTTTTTGCATTTCGTTTCTTCATCAAAGTTGTAGATCTGTCTCTTATCTATAACATACTTGCTTTTCAATGATTTCTGGGTTTGAAACGTTTTCTGGGTTTTTATGCATGATGTTCTTCAGTGTTCTTGAGTAGTGGATTAGGGTTCTTGAGGATGGGATAGATTAGGTGTGGAATCCTTAGTATATTTAGGTGGTTAAGTGTAGAATTGCTTGATTTCCCTTCTGGTTTAGTAGATCTTAATGCTATTTCCTCTCTGATCAATTGGAAGTTGATCTCAGATATTTCCACACCCAAAAGGTGTTTGATGAAATGTCTGAACCAACTATTCCAGAGATTTGCATACTCTAGCCCAAGAGATTGGATGTTTAGAATGCTTATTGACTCTATTAGATTGAATCTTAATGCCTGCTAGGTTATATTTCTTCAATGAGAATTGAGTATGAAAGTGATTTAGCTTGAGAATCTCTGTCACGAGAGTGGATTGATTTGTATTCGAATCTATTGTCTAGGGATAGCTTGATTGAGTTTGTTAACCACCTAGGTAGACTAAGGAGACTGCCATAATCGATTACCCCATTCCTCAGGACCCTTTATCTCTATTGCTTGCTCGTTTATCATTTCTGTTAGCTTCTGTGTTCTACTCGACCTGCTTGTTTATTACTGCTTAGTTTTGATAGTCATTTCTCTTTATGCATGTTCATTCCTGTTCTATAGCTTTATCGTTTTTATGCATGTTCGCTTAGGATTGTTAGATAAACAACCATCTATTCTGCTTGGCTTGACTTAGTATTCTCTGAGCATATCTTGATTGATAGTAAGAGCACCTGATTGGATTGATAACCTCTTATACTGCAATGACATGAAAGTATATTAGGGTAATTGATAGTAAAAATCCTAGTATCAGCTGCTTAGAACAAGAGTGAATTTGACAGAAGATCACTTGGTTAGGGTATATTTGGATGGTCTAAAAACAGATACTCAAGTGAATGTGCAAATGTTTCAACCTCAAACAGTGGAGCAGTGTTTGTTGATTGGAAGATTGTATGAGCAAGCACATCGTAGAAGCAACATTGATAATATTGAGATCCTTCCACTTAAGAGAGATAAAGAACTAAAAGCTGAGGAGTATAAAGAAGTGATAGAAATTGAGGTTAAATCTGAGGTTGAGACAAAATCAATGGAAAGGATAAAACATGAAGCGATCTTGAAGGAAAAATTGATTACACAATCTCAGGTACCGGTTTCTAACTTGGAACCTAGCCTTCGATTTCACAATGCATCTCTAGCTGTTTGTGAGGATTCCCAATCTTTTGTTGACCTGTTTGATCGTCATAAAACTATTCTACAAGTTTCACATGTCAAAACAAGGGATGTGCTGCTTGAGAACTCAACATGTGTCACTAATAACCACGTTGCCCACCAACTGTTCGTTACAATGTCTCTCAGAGAACGTACTAAGAGGATACACATTAGGGGGCCCAAGTGTTGGAAGTTCAAATACAAACAAAGGAAACAACTGAGATGCAAGCCACGAATAGCACACGAACTGATTTACAGAGCGGGTGTCATGTACAAATATTTTGGTTCAAGTGCCAAAGTTGCATTGATGAAGAAGAAGAACAAGTTCTCTAAGACTTGGTCGCTCACAGATGGCTGTTTTAAGGAAGATGATAAAGTGTATCATATATCACTTCCAATATGGTTACTTATCAGATTCAAGTTCTGGGAACTCACGTTCATAAACATGAATTTGCAGAAAATATGGGTGAGCATTGGCTTGGGATAATAGAGAGTGATGCAGGTCATGGACAACAAGCTTTGTATAAGTTGATTGTCATGGTGAACAAGCGGTTGTTGCAAACCAGTTTGGTTATTCAACAAGTGACCAGAAACAAAAAGATCAAGTCTTCCAAGCGATGGTGGTTCAAGTACAAATCTGTGGAAGAGGGCATGAGGAGATTACACATTGAGTTGAGTTATAAGTGCAAGTTAGCATTTGAAGAGTGGTTTAACAGTTGGAACCGCAGAGATTGGCTTCAGTACATAACCATGCCACTTCAGAAATTGGAATGTTCCAAATCCAGTGAATTGGAACTTCTAAAGGGTCTCTTCTCCTCTTATACTCTGCACATGTGGACATAAAAATCAACGTTTCTGTGTGGCATTGTTGGAGAACGAAGTTCAAGCTATGCTTGATTGGTTTCATTGATCTCCAGCAAAGGGAAGCGTTGAATCACTCACATGATCAGATCGTGATGAAGATGAATAGCAGAACATTTCTAAGCTTGACGATAAAGAAGCATGCATATATGTGCTTGTTTGGTAGCAACAATTGTGTTTCAACTTTGGGAAAGAGGAAGTTAGGCAAAGATTGGTGGTTTAAATACAAGACAGCTGCAATGGCTAAAGATTTACTGATGATGAAGTTGTCACAAGCTTGGCGATTACGAATTAGACCAACAAAGGCTGATGAAGTTGTCACAAGCTTGGCGATTCAAATCAGCTTGTCTCTTCTTTTATCCACATAACGAGGCCAACGAGCTACAGGGCTTGGAGATTTGGTATAAAAAAGCTATGGTTCCAATGGAAGAGGCTGCATGGGAGTAACTCTATGAACTGTCAATGAAGTTTCCATGAACCTTGTGGTCAAGGTTCTCTGAGAAAGGGAGATTTGTTACAGGGAATATGAAGAGTAGCTGACGTGGAGAGATGCTGAAAGATGATTGGCTGAGAGGTGAATAATGAGTTGGCAGCTGTTGATTGGTGCGTTGTTTTTGGGAGAAGAAGTTGTGAAGCTATAAGCAGAGCTTCGATCATTTGCGGAGATTAATCAGAAAATTTGTAAAAGTTTGTTATCTTCTTCTTTGAATCTCTTTCTGTTGTTAGGTTCTCTCATCTAGAGACCTAGATGATGATCGAAGCTGCCTTTCATGAACGTTGTTTTGGTTAACTTTGGAATTGAAGTGTTGATTGATCGATTGGTGGAATTTCTGTATTAGAAAGATAGTATCTGATTATGGTGATCTTTAGGAACTTTTCTTGTTACTTAAACCGATTTTTAACCCGGCTAATTCGGCTTTGTTCTAGGTTGCAGCCATTGTTACACATGCTCCATCAAGTAGAGATAGTGGAAAAAAAGTTTTGCCTTCTCCCGTAGCGCAATATGCTCTTGATAAAGGCTTACCTTCTCATCTCATTTTCTCCCCTGAGAAGGCAGGAGATGTAAGTTTTCTTGTCTCATTAATCAACTTCTTGCTTTCGGAAATATTGTGATCTTTCCTTCTTCTTTCTTGTGAAGATGACATTGCATTTCTTATATGCAGGAAGCATTCTTATCGGCTTTAAGAGAGTTGCAACCTGCGCTTTGTATTACAGCAGGTTATGGGAATATTTTGCCTACTAAGTTCCTTAAGATTCTGGTACATGGTTACTATAAGTTGCTGCTTATTCTAGATGGTTGATGTAACCGAATGTTGTTTCTTTATACTGCAAATGAGTCTTGTGTCCCTAAGTTGAGTCTTGCAGAAAGGATGCGGCGACAAAAACGGCAACGAACATGGCAAGGTAATAATGCTGAACTTGAAAAATATTTATCTGCTAACTTTGAGTTTAGTGATGCAGATGCAGGTAATGACTTTCAAATCATTCATTGGTGGAAGAGTCACCAATCTCACTATCCGATTTTAGCCATGATTGCCAAAGACGTTCTTTCTTCACCTGTTTCTACAGTTTCCGTCGAGAGGGCCGGGCTTTTAGCATGGGAGGTCAAATACTAGATGAAACTCGATCAAGAATAAGTCCAGATTCTCTTGAAGCTCAAGCTTGTCTTGACGATTGGACCAGAGCTGAATATAGACAACAAGAATACATTCGAGAAAATGAAGAAGAATTAGAAGATATTGATAGCGATGTATCATTAACGAGATCGGAAGATGATTAATATTTTTTTTTTTTACTCTTTAATATTTTTCATTAACTTGTTAGTATGATCCGGTTCTATACATTTTCCCTTTCCCATTGTATTTTGCTTTTTATATATTAGATTTTTAGTTTTTGAAGTTTTTGACATTTTGATCTTTATAGAACGAAGCATAAGGTTTTTCTTCTTCCTCAGCTGAGTAATCGTTCTTGATGTTGAAGTGAGCTCGCATCTCCTCTGGAGTTTTCTCTCTCATCATATCATCGACAGTCTTGCATGTAAGGTCAAGAAGTCCAGAGTTGTTCAGATAGTTAGCAACCAGGATCGTATCGAAGAGTATAGGCTGATCGACTTGGACAAAGTCGGCGTCCCAAGCCTTAAGTTCTTTGTTTTCGGTGGAACCTAAGAAATCTTTGTCGGCTCCGTTAGCCTCGGCGGCGGTCTCAACGTGCTTTTTGCAACACTCAATAACCTTCGCAAGGATGCCTCCGATGACACTGGGAAGCGGAATTCCGTTACCGGCGCAGTCATCTTCGATCATGTGTTTAATCGTCAGAGACTCGACTGCCACCGCTTCATCGATCTCGAAGGATTCACCGTTGGAGCTTGTGAGGATGATCTTGTTCGACGCCATTGTTTTTTTTTTTCGTGAAAATTGTTCGACGCCATTGTTTTTTTTTTGGGTTTGTTGGCAATATAGTACGTTTGTGAGTAATAATTGGGAAAGTAGTACGAGTACTATTTATAATTAGAGAAACAGTCAATTATTAGTGTTTGTGTAATAGAATTTGTGTGAGATAGGAGAGAAAGTGGGGTAGAGTGTAAGAGAATGAAAATTACTACTAGGGGCTTTGTATTTGTGAGAAAGAGAAACGTGGGTCATGTTTTTTTTTTTTAATTTCTTTTCTTTTCTTTATTATCTCATATTCCCCTAAAGTCTCATAATTAAGATGCTTGTTAGTGAATTTTTTTGTTTCTAAAATTTATCAAATTCATAAAAATCTATATTTTTTTCTCTATCATTTGATATGCATTTTGTTTAATAATTATTTAAAACTTTATATTATAGACTACTATATAGAAAGGATGACTGTACAGATATAGACCACTGTACAGAAGAATGACTGTACAGATATAAATCACTGTACAGAAGGATGATTGTACAGATATAAACCACTGTACAGATATAAACCACTGTACAGATGATAGACCACTGTACAGATATAGAGCACTGTACAGATATATAACATTGTACAGAAGAATGACTGTACAGAAGGATGCATCTGTACAGATATATACCTGTACAGAAAGATGAATGTGGAATAAAGATTTGAGCACAAATAATTAGTGATTTTTTTTTCTAAAATTTATCATTTACATAAAAATCTATGTTTTTTCTCTATCATTTGATATGCATTTTGTTTGATGACTTTTAAATTTTATATTATAGACCACTGTACAAAATAATGTATGTACGGATATAAACAATAGTACAGATATAGACCACTGTACAGATATATACCACTGTACAGATATAGACCATTGTGCAAATATAGACCACTGTACAGATATTATAGACCACTGTACAGATATAGACCACTGTACAGATATAGACAACTGTACAGATATAGACCACTGTACAGATATATACCACTGTAAAGATATATACCACTGTACAGAATACCATTGTACAGATACATATATAGACCACTGTACAGATACATATATAGACCACTGTACAGATATAGACCACTGTACAGATATAAACCAATGCTCGTTAATGTTTGTAATGTAGTAATATTTACTATTCAAAATTGGAGAATTAGTCAGTTTGTACTGTATATTAGAATTCAAGTGCACCAGCAAATACAACTTTGTAAATACACAATCTCAAAAAAAATTCAACGATCCTACTTGTTGGTGTCGGATCCCGCAGTTCGGATCCGGTCCGGAAAAATAGTGGATCAATAAGATGAAGTGGGCCATCGGCTCGGTCTAGGGGACGAAAAGAGCGGCCCAATAAGTTGCAGCCCAGTTCGAGTGAAACGTCGGGATCTCACAAGTTAAATGAAAAGCGGGTTGCGCGAGATCTGCTAGATGGGGAAGATTCGAAACGGAAGCAATAATGAAGGCGAGATCTGCGGCTTGATGAGCGACTTCGGTTTCGAATCATGTAATTATAAATAGAGAGCGAAAACCATTGTAGAAGGAGGGAATTTTTTTTGAGCAATAAACAGACACATAGACTTTACTCTCTTATTTTCTTTTCACGATTGTTGTTCGAATTAGCAAGGCTAGACGATCCGATACACATCAATTTTGTATTGCGGATTCCGACATCCACAATTTGGCGCTAGAAGGAGGGGATTTCTAGTCTTTAACTCCAGAATATTAATCGAAAAGATGTCAGACATAGCGGATCCGGCTTCAGTCCTCGACGAGATCAAGAAGTTGCTTAAATATCTGTCCGAGAAAACCGACCAGCAGCAGCTCGCCACCACTGCGTTGTCTGAGAAGCTTTCAGCGTTCGAAGAGCAAAGCGGCAGCCAAATCGCAGTCCTCACAGCGAGTTGTTCCGAAATCAGGTCAGCCCATAATGCTTATGCGGATCGGGTTGATACAATTCTTGCAGGAACTTTGCGGACCAGCGGGCCTCGTGGCCATTTGGATTTCCATGGTCCGAATGTTTCGGAGGTTCAGGATCCTAGGCTCGTTTCCCCGAACAACGTACTCCCATCTTCTTTGACTCTTGGCTCTCAAAGTGAACCTGGAGATGGATCCCGCCATAATCAGGCACCTCAAAACTCAGCCGGCGGTCCCTATGTTCCAGCCAGAACACCTCTCCCCATTCATCTTGGCAGCACCCCGCATCATCCTCAAACCGAGTCCCATCCACCTCACCTTCCGGTTAACCCGGAGATCCAGAGCTTACAAAATCAGATTCGGGAAATGAGTTCGAAGGTTCATCAAGCCACCAGTTCGGCTCCCGAAGTCGATAGAGTGATCGAGGAGACGAGAAGGACTCCCTTTACTCCACGAATTGTAGCCCTGCGAATTCGGGACCAAAGGAAGGTCAAACTTCCGGGGTACGACGGTAAGGGAGATCCCAAAGAATTTTTGGCGTCTTTTCAGGTGACCGCAGGTCGGGTACATTTGGAGCCAGATGAAGTAGACGCGGGCTTATGCAAGCTCTTCGCCGAAAACCTATCCGGGCCAGCTTTGACCTGGTTTACTCAACTAGAAGAAGGATCGATCGATAGCTTCAAGCAACTATCCACTGCCTTCATCATGCAGTACGGATACTTCATCAAGAGCGATGTAACCGATGCCCAGCTGTGGAACCTCTCACAGGGAGCCGGAGAGCCGCTCCGGACTTACATCACCTCCTTTAAAGAGATTATGGTTCAGATCCCAAATTTGTCTGATTCCGCAGCAATTGCTGCACTCAAGAACGGTCTATGGCACGAATCCCGTTTCCGAGAAGAGTTGGTTGTTAACCGACCAGCCACTATTCAAGACGCCCTCCATCGGGCAACGAACTGGATAAACGCGGAAGAAGAGCAGGCCGCTCTAGCAAAAAAGTTCAAAGCAACTCCGAAACCTGCTCAACTTCTTCCTCAGAAGAAACCTGTTCAACCTGAAGCTCGGAAACCTAGAGCTGGCACATTCTCAGTGGATCGGGAGGAGCCAAAAGGTTCTCCGAAGAATTCACCTGCGAAGCAGTCTCTCTCGCCAAAGAGCAAAAACGGCGCTTTCCCGAGTAACAAGTGGATTCGTGACCCAAACGCCTACTGCGAGATCCACAAAGTCAATGGGCATGCTACGAAAGATTGCAAGGCTCTAGGAAGGTTACTGGCTGCCAAGTTCGCATCCGGGGAAATAACCGAAATTGATATTTCGGAGCTCGAACCAACTCATCCGTCGGAACAAACAGTAGCAACAGAGGAACCATCTCCTCCTAGCAAAAAAATCAAAAGGGTCCAGTCCCCTGAT